TAAAACATTCCTCGAGGAAGTTAATGCTGTATTTTCAAATTCTTACTTGCCACCTCTAATTAGATTCAGTACAACAGTAGCAGAGAACAAATTCTGCTTTTCCAAAGACAATGCTCAGTTTTCAGCCTCGTGACTGTAATGCACTGAGTTAAAAAATCTTTTTGTTACGATTCAAAAGTTCATGAATGTAGAGTGTGCCCTACTGAACAAATCCAAATCTAATTTCATGTTTGATTGACAATGTGCTACAAACCGCCACAATGCTCAACACGCTTTTCGATTCAATCTGGCAGTGTCATCCAAAATTGAGCATGAATACATTTGTAAAAGCAACATTGGGTGGCACAGTTGTCCAATTTATTCTTGCAAATAATGTGCTCGATCAGTATAATTGAAATCTTACTGGCCGTGGTTCTGTGTAGTTTGCTCCAAGTCCTGATGTCAAGCTGTGATATTTTGCCCTCGGGTCCAGAGACTCTGGTGTTTGAAGGAACAGCCAATGCTGTGGAAGTCCATATTATTTTCCGTTTAAAAATATCTTCCATTTTAGCATTCCGTTTGATGGGTGACTTGACTTTGTGACATACCAGTGACTCCGCTCCATTATGTGGTGTAAGAGTAAACGTATTCGTGAAGATCCTGATCTGCTCAATATAGAAAACACCATGTGACGCTTCAGGAAAACCAAAAAACAAAACAAAACAAACAATGGCACTCACCAACCACATGATTGGCATAATAAAAGTCCAGAAACAGGAGGGCAGGATGCCATAAGTGAGATTGGTCATCACCAGTCCTGGACATATCACAGAGGAGAAAAGCCCCTGGTGGAAAAGAACAAAATGTTGAGACACAGAAAGCCCTCCCAGAAGTTAGTATGCTGTTTCAGTATTTTATCAGAGGGCGTCTTATTCGAGGGAAATTTCAAAGCGCTTTAATGCGTTTGCAGTGATGTTCAAGTGCCGCGTGTGCAAAAACAAACCTGACTGTTCTTGTGTCTATTGAGGGCCACACTGAGCATGTCCGAGGCATACTTGGAGGAGCTGTAGGGCTCAGTCCCATTTTTGTGCTGGATATCCTCAATGCTGAAGGCAGTGCGGCGGGCGTTACTTGAAGAGGTCCACACGACACGTGATGTGTGACCCGCCTCACACAACAGAGGCTCCAGTTCCCTGACCTTGAAGGAAATCAGAGTGTCAAACCTGCAAGATCCGACTTCAACCGGTTTGGGTTTGCTGTTGTCCCTCTCACATGGTGGAGATGTGCTTTCATACTGAACAATAATATGTGTTTTTCCATCTTACACTACCCAAATACAGTGACTAGGTTCAAAATGGTTACAATATGTGTGACACCTGCACAATCTAATGAGATTCATGCACTTTGCAAGAAAGTTATAAAGGTTACAGAACTATCAGACACGTCCCCTCAATATGAAGCGGGACACTATAAATAAAAAAATATTAAATTAATTGTTAAACTGCATTTATTATGTTTGTAAAAGCAGAATTTCCTTTGAAGGTCTTGGCGTGCCTAATAAAGTGTATTATCTGATTTGTTCGGTTGAGTGTGTACCAGGAGAAAATGACCAAACAGGTTTGTGGCAAAAACTTCCTGCAGACCGTCAGAGTTGAGGTGATCCTGCTGTGTTAAAAGACCCTCCGCTGTTGCAAACATGCTGATGACGTTTCTGTTGAGAGAGACATATTACATCACTACACAGACTCTCAAAAAAATGGCCCTATAGCTTGAACAAATGAGATTAGTAATAAACTGGACTTTTACCTTGAGAACAAACCTTTGAAGAAAGCTTTTATTTATTATATCAGAGGGCGTCTTATTCTCGTGAAATTACGCTATTTCAAAGCGCTTTAATGCGTTTGCAGTGATGTTCAAGTGCCGCGTGTGCAAAAACAAACCTGACTGTTCTTGTGTCTATTGAGGGCCACACTGAGCATGTCCGAGGCATACTTGGAGGAGCTGTAGGGCTCAGTCCCATTTTTGTGCTGGATATCCTCAATGCTGAAGGCAGTGCGGCGGGCGTTACTTGAAGAGGTCCACACGACACGTGATGTGTGACCCGCCTCACACAACAGAGGCTCCAGTTCCCTGACCTTGAAGGAAATCAGAGTGTCAAACCTGCAAGATCCGACTTCAACCGGTTTGGGTTTGCTGTTGTCCCTCTCACATGGTGGAGATGTGCTTTCATACTGAACAATAATATGTGTTTTTCCATCTTACACTACCCAAATACAGTGACTAGGTTCAAAATGGTTACAATATGTGTGACACCTGCACAATCTAATGAGATTCATGCACTTTGCAAGAAAGTTATAAAGGTTACAGAACTATCAGACACGTCCCCTCAATATGAAGCGGGACACTATAAATAAAAAAATATTAAATTAATTGTTAAACTGCATTTATTATGTTTGTAAAAGCAGAATTTCCTTTGAAGGTCTTGGCGTGCCTAATAAAGTGTATTATCTGATTTGTTCGGTTGAGTGTGTACCAGGAGAAAATGACCAAACAGGTTTGTGGCAAAAACTTCCTGCAGACCGTCAGAGTTGAGGTGATCCTGCTGTGTTAAAAGACCCTCCGCTGTTGCAAACATGCTGATGACGTTTCTGTTGAGAGAGACATATTACATCACTACACAGACTGTCAAAAAAATGGCCCTGTAGCTTGAACAAATGAGATTAGTAATAAAACTGGACTATTACCTTGAGAACAAACCTTTGAAGAAAGCTTTTATATCCACTTGTGGATTGGGCATTATTCCTGCATTTAGATACAAAAAGTCAATTCTTTTGTACCTGTGGTGGGAAAAAAAAAACATCTAAAATTAATCGATCAAGTGTGTCAAATGAGGTCCAGTATCTGCCATGTCAGTGTCACGAAGAAATGTTTCGACCTGGCTTTGAGTTCTCGGGCAGCAGCGAGCACTGACTGCACAGAACCCACATCAAGCTGCAGTAAGTCCACACGGGCCTCGGAGTGAGACGCCAAAAGGGCAGAGCGGGCAGCTCTGGCCCGCTGCATGTTTCTGCATGCCAGACACAAACGGACCTGGATGTGCTCAGCCAGAAGCCTTTCACATAAGGCAAGACCAATACCACTATAAAAAGAACACACACGACAATGAGAGATACAAAGACTTGCAGATAATGTTGATAACAGTAGCGGTCAGCGCTTTTGGCACCCGGGCCTTCATCAGTTGTAGAAGAATGCCCACATATCTAAAGTGATCACTGGGGGGTAGGCAGCTACATTTGCAGTTTGAGAGGTGTCAGTTTATGGTCGTTTGCCATAAAGGCAGTGTTTTGTTTAAATGCACATTATTATCGTATCGTGCACTGTTCAAATACAGTACTTATGCAAAAAAACCTGTTGACGTTTTAAATGACTGTCACTCGTTTCGAGACGCTTACGCCAACTCAATTAGTCGGCTACAAGTTTGGTTGTGATGACAAACGCCCAATGACTGCTCTTTGAAATAACGCGTGTACGATGAAGTTACCTGTTCGCGCCGGTTACAATGACGTCAAAAAAATGGCCCTGTAGCTTGAACAAATGAGATTAGTAATAAAACTGGACTATTACCTTGAGAACAAACCTTTGAAGAAAGCTTTTATATCCACTTGTGGATTGGGCATTATTCCTGCATTTAGATACAAAAAGTCAATTCTTTTGTACCTGTGGTGGGAAAAAAAAAACATCTAAAATTAATCGATCAAGTGTGTCAAATGAGGTCCAGTATCTGCCATGTCAGTGTCACGAAGAAATGTTTCGACCTGGCTTTGAGTTCTCGGGCAGCAGCGAGCACTGACTGCACAGAACCCACATCAAGCTGCAGTAAGTCCACACGGGCCTCGGAGTGAGACGCCAAAAGGGCAGAGCGGGCAGCTCTGGCCCGCTGCATGTTTCTGCATGCCAGACACAAACGGACCTGGATGTGCTCAGCCAGAAGCCTTTCACATAAGGCAAGACCAATACCACTATAAAAAGAACACACACGACAATGAGAGATACAAAGACTTGCAGATAATGTTGATAACAGTAGCGGTCAGCGCTTTTGGCACCCGGGCCTTCATCAGTTGTAGAAGAATGCCCACATATCTAAAGTGATCACTGGGGGGTAGGCAGCTACATTTGGAGTTTGAGAGGTGTCAGTTTATGGTCGTTTGCCATAAAGGTAGTGTTTTGTTTAAATGCACATTATTATCGTATCGTGCACTGTTCAAATACAGTACTTATGCAAAAAAACCTGTTGACGTTTTAAATGACTGTCACTCGTTTCGAGACGCTTACGCCAACTCAATTAGTCGGCTACAAGTTTGGTTGTGATGACAAACGCCCAATGACTGCTCTTTGAAATAACGCGTGTACGATGAAGTTACCTGTTCGCGCCGGTTACAATGACAACTTTCTCCATGTCTGCTGAAGTTTGTTTCCGTTCGACGGGCAACAGTTTACGCCGGGATGAGGCGGAGAGAATCCGCTTGAGTGGGAGGTCCAGTTCTCGTGGTGCCATGGTTCGATTCCGATGTAAACAAAAGAGCCAATCCACGTGCACGAGGCGAAACATGGTACGAAAAGCTGGCCAATCAGCTTCTAACTACGGCGAAGGACGAGAGACAAAATAAAAGTCATTGCGCAATACTCGATTTAAAAAAAAAACACATTGATTTGTATTTTTTTATGGCTCTTTGCTGGCCACATGTCTGCTCTGCTTACATTAAAAAACGAGCATGTGTTCATGCGGCCGTCAAGAGGTGGGGCAATTTTAGGAAATGTATGTACAGGCGTTTCAAATTTTGTTGTAACCCTAAATGGATCAAATTCGTTGTCTCAATTGGGTACTATCCAGTTAAAGTTCCTTTGGCCTCCTTGGCATTATCAGTCAGGGCTCACGAAATTGTAGAAGAATAACGAAACTGTTTTTTATAAGAGACTAAACCTTTGCACACACAATAGTACAATGATCAGTATCTTAAATTGTATATCTTCTGAATGATCGTGATTTGGTATTTCCCCATATGTGTATAAATGGTTAACAAAAAAAAAAAAATGTTGGCAAGTTATTTAATAAAACAAGCCCAAAATGGCTAAAAGCGACAAAGGCCTGAGCATTGACCAAAATATAACAAACAAATCTGAGAATAGCATGCAGACAGACAAACGAAAACTACTCTTTCATTGGCGTTCAGTAGATTAAGCAAGTCAAAATGTCCCAAAGTGTCACACGAGTGTCCTTTATTGTGAGAACTTTAATATTTTTTATACTTTATTTATTCCTGCAAAGTAACAAATACTGAAACTTTGTATGTTGCTTCATGTTCCAATCATAACCTATCAGAATTATAAAGCCAACATATGGCTCTTTGCTGGCCACATGTCTGCTCTGCTTACATTAAAAAACGAGCATGTGTTCATGCGGCCGTTAAGAGGTGGGGCAATTTTAGGAAATATACGTACAGGCGTTTCAAAATTTGTTGTCACCCCAAATGGATCAAATTCGTTGTCTCAATTGGGTACCATCAAGTTAAAGTACCTTTGGCCTCCTTGGCATTATCAATCAGGGCTCACGAAATTGTAGAAGAATAACGAAACTGTTTTTTTATAAGAGACTAAACCTTTGCACACACAATTGTACAATGATCAGTATCTTAAATTGTATTTCTTCTGAATGATCGTGATTTGGTATTTCCCCCATGTGTGTATAAATGGTTAACAAAAAAAAACTGTTGGCAGCAAGTTATTTAATAAAACAAGCCCAAAATGGCTAAAAGCGACAAAGGCCTGAGCATTGACCAAAATATAACAAACAAATCTGAGAATAGCATGCAGACAGACAAACGAAAACTACTCTTTCATTGGCGTTCAGTAGATTAAGCAAGTCAAAATGTCCCAAAGTGTCACACGAGTGTCCTTTATTGTGAGAACTTTAATATTTTTTATACTTTATTTATTCCTGCAAAGTAACAAATACTGAAACTTTGTATGTTGCTTCATGTTCCAATCATAGTTTAATATTTTTATACTTCATTTATTCCTGCAAAGTAACAAATCCTGAAACTTTGTATGTTGCTTCATGTTCCAATCATAACCTATCAGAATTATAAAGCCAACATTCCAATGCTGTTTTATAAAGGTCTCACAACTACGCTTACCTTTTCAAAAAAAAATAAAATAATAAAATAAAATAAAATTGCACACCATTCAAGGGTTGTATGAAAATACAATCTAAAAAAAATAAAATAATAAAATAAATTGCACACCATTCAAGGGTTGTATGAAAATACAAAGCTGCACAAATGTGTTTCAAACCCCAATAATAATAACTCAAACCTATAAATAGACAATAAAAACATTATAAATACAGTGAGTAATTCAATATGACAATAGTACTGTATAAAAGGTATATTCAGTTGCACGTCACACATATATATACAGTCCCTTTGTCGCAAAGTAGTTTAAAACAACTGGATAACATTTGCAGGGTTGACTGTGACTCAACATTTATACAGAACAATTTGCGAGCGGGCAGGCTGTGCTTAGCAGACACAAGCGATATGTCCTGTGGGTTACGCCAGGTGCTCCACCAACTGACTGTGTATGTCCTGAAAGCTCGGCCTGTGTTTGGCATTTCTCCTCCAGCAACTCAACATCAACTCGTAGATGGTATCGGGGCAACGAGGTGGTTGGGGCAGGTACACCTTGAAAAATGCAAAAATGAAATTGAAAACATTGAAAACAAATTGCATTCAAACATACAGAATTTCTGATCAATCTTACATCCACAGTGTTGCCACAGTTAGCTTGAAAAAAAAGGATGACTTGCTTTAAAAAGTAACTAAGTCCGATTACATGTTATTTTAATAGTTAGATTCAGCACATACATTTTATTTACCGGTATTAATTTTTTTACACAGTGTTATTGAAGCTAGATAACACTCTGTTGATGACAGTGTGCTGTTGTTTTTAGCTCACACAAACTCAAAATAGTGACTGTATTTCTAGCTTGAAAACGTAAATCACTCTATTTCCTCAATTGCTGCTTACGTCAAATGCCGAAGACGTGACACGACACATACGTCATGTAATTTCCTCAGACAGGAAGTTGAATTTTTCAAGTTGTAAATATTGGAGTTTCTCTTTCTTACATGTTCCACAACGTGCAGTTATTTGTAAAGTGCCTTCAGTGAGTACTATGGTGTTAGGAATCAAGTGAATATTTGATTTGCCGCATGCCCAATATGTGCATCAGAAGTATGTGCTATTTATTTCAGTCTCAATGGTGTAACCCTAACCTCAGTCGTTGTGCACATTTTGGCGTAACGCGTTACCAACATCACTGCATGTAAGTTTGGGTAACAAAATTCTATAAGGTGTACAAAGGTATGCCGCTCACCTGTTTGCCTTGGTCCCGGAAGAACTCGCCTGTGTTTTCAATGACCTGCTCATCAGAGAGGTGGGCGTACGGCTGCTTCTTGCAAAGAGTCAAAATCTCCCACAAAGTCACCCCGAATGCCCACACGTCACTAGCCATGGTGAATTTACCCTGGAAATCAGATGCGTAATCATAATAAATCAAATGAAGGATATATTGAGAGCATTTTTTTAAGCACACATGTACAGTCATGATATTTCGCTGCCTCATAGTCAGGTTGCGCTATTGTCACCACTGCACTTATTGACTTGTCATGACATCCTACTATTGGAGGAAGTCCCAAATTGAAGTCAGGTAAAAGGGAAGAAAAGTGGTGACCGAGTGGTTGTGAAATGTTTTTTCATTGTCTGGAGGTGGACTGAGCCGCTCTTGTTTTATTTAAACTGGTTCCTCACCAGCAGAATGCTTTCCCAAGACATCCAGCGGATTGGCAGCACAGCTCGGCCCTGGATCCGAAAGTAGTCCCCGCGGTACAGATTGCGACTCATGCCGAAATCTGCGATCTTTATGGTGTAGTTCTTCCCCACCAAGCAGTTCCGTGTGGCCAGGTCACGATGGACGAAGTTGAGAGAGTTCAAGTACTTCATACCGGAGGCTATCTGCACGGCCATGTCTATCAGTTTGCTGTAGCTTAAGAGTAAAGATTAGAAAGAGAAAACCGGCATGGATTTGTGCATGGAATCGATGTTTTCCGGTCACTCTAAAGGTACAACAATCAGTCGATTAATCGACAAGTAAACAATTATCAATATTCATTTTTGATCATTGATTTATTGTTTCAATGCCTTTTTTGATGAAATAGACTCCAAATATCTCTAGGTTTCAATTTAGTACATTCAGTTAATGTTTTCTACACTGTTAATGTGAAACAATGTCCTGTTTTTGTTGAAAGCGACAGAATTTAAAATGTGTGTTTAAAAAAAAAAAAATCCGATTCATTGATTCGTCAACCAAATAATCGACATAGTAATCGATTGTCAAAAACAATCGCTAGTTACAGTTCAAATTAAAGCCCTCCATTCAAGAAATGCTCATGGAATATATACTCAGTAAAGTTCTGAGGTCAGCAGACTTGGGTCGGTTAGCGGAGACCAGAGTTCAAAGAAAACACGGTGCATCAGCATCAGGCTGTCGTGCTGCACGCAAATGGAATAAGTGTTTCAACGCTGCATTTTTTTTTTTTTTTTTTTAATTTCATAATGTAAAAATCTTTCAACTTGGACAATTTCTGATACAGCACCGAAATGTCTGCTGTCACAATAAACATGGAAGGATATGGCATCTACCTGACCATCCTCCTGTCTTCTTTCTCCTCCTGTCCTGCTTCACAGTCCTCATCATCAACCTCCTTTAGTCTGAGATGGCAAAGGAACTGGTTGAGGTCTCCGTTCTCCATGTACTCCGTAATCATACAAAGAGGGTCTGTGTCCACGCATACAGCCAGCAGACGGACAATGTTGGGGTCCATCAGGCGAGACATGATTCGGATCTCCTCCAGGAAATCCTTCCTAAGGTGTGGCACACAAAAATATGAATTGGATCCATACACTTGACTTGTATGCACTGTTGGGAAGTAATGAAGCATAAATATGAATTTTTGGCTATCTGATGACTTTTTCCATGATCCATCCATTTTCAACACCGCGTATCCTGAACAGGGTCACGGAGTTGCTGGAGCCTGTCCCAGCTGATTTTGGGCGGAAGGCGGACGACACGCCAGTCAGTCACAGGGCACACGTAGGGACCAACAACTATTCACACTCACATCCACACCGTCACTGAGTGGGAACCGATCCCACACTGCCCGCACACAAGTCAGGCACCATGACACCATTAGCGACTGACTTTTTTATTTTATTCATTAATTTTTACTTTTGCACTTACCGGTAAGTACATTCCAGAGTTTTTTTTTTTTTTTAACTTTTCCTCAAATGAATAATTTGAATCAGTACTTTTACTTTTAAAGCCTTTTTTTTTTTGTTGTTGTACATGTGAGTACTTACAGCCCTGCTTGAATGAAAGGGAATTGGCTGGCTGCGCAGAAATGTTGGATGACTTTACTCAATTTTTATTTTTTAGCTCAGTAGTTGCACAAAATAAAATCATCTGGAGCCAGATACACTTTTCAAGTAGGTGTATAGTTTACTGAAAGATTTACTTGGATTCAAATAATAATAAACATACATTTTATTTATAAGTGCCTTTCAAAACACTCAAGGACACTTAACTATCAGGAACAAGAACAATAAAACCACAGATAACATTATAAATGAGTTTATTTCATCCACTTGATGAAATAAAATGGAGTAAATTCAGCATGTTTTTTTTTTTTCTTTTGTTAAGTGTTGTTACCTTGCATTCTTGTTGGCATCTTCTCGCAGTGTTTTAACAGCTACTAGTAAGGGTGCTCGGTTCGTCCCTTCTCCAGATGAGTCATCATCTAAAAAGGCCTGCATGCCTTCTGCTTCACACAAGTGCACCTAAAAAAAAAAAAAAAACATTCTGAATGTCGCTGCATTTCCAAACACAAAGCGGCACAGATGCGCAAACGCACCTCTCCAAACTGTCCCTCTCCCAGTTTCTCTTTGAACGTGAGTTTGTCTCTGGGAAACTCTCTCATGGATGAATCTGCGCCAGCCAAGATATTGAGGCTGACAGCTGTGACAGAGTGGCCGTTGCTGTCGGACCCCTGCAGGCTGATGATGTCGGCCTCTGCATAGGGGGGGCCGCCATCCGAACCACCGGCTGCAAGAGTCCTGTAGGAGCTGCTTGGTCCTAATGCGGAAGACACATGCAAAGGCGTCATTATGGTGGGGGCAGGTTGAGAAAAGCAGAATGGATTCAGTGACGAAGGTTGCAAACTTTTGGGAATTTTCCAAAGTTGGAGAATTTCCATTTGAAGTCGTAGGAATGTTTGCAAATAAATTGTCATTTTGTGGAGGGGGGGCAGGAAAAAAATATTTACAAAATTAAAGGTTGGCTCTTACAACAGAACTTTATTAGAAGTGAGGAAATTATATTATTTTATAATCCTGATTAAAACAACTTGACTCACAACCATTGCCCAAAAGGGTAGAGAAAGAACTTCATTGGCTCTTTCCGTTTAAAATTTTGAAGGGGACTTTGTTGGTGTTTTTGAGTAGAGATTTTGTCACTCTGTAAAGCTTTGGGTTGACAGGTGGGTCATGTTTACCTCAACATTAATAGTTTCTTTTCTGCTTTTTTCAGACAAAACAAAATGTTTACAGTATATCTATGCTTAAATGGGATACACACTCAAAAACCCTGAGTTGTTTTCTTCACTCATTCACTTGGTAGCTGTGGATTTTGAGCAGATTGGGTTATTTTTACCAAAAGTCGGGTTAAATCTTTTGACCCAGCAGACTGGGGTAAAGGCTGGATTTAGGTGGGCTAAAGAGCTGAAGCTGGACGCATTTTTTGGACCATTTTGTTGTCGAATTTGGACACTTGGATGGTTCTGGGTTGGTCCCGTCAGGAAGGGCATCAGCTGTGGAAACTGTCAAGCATATCATGGAGGTGATTTGCTGGCAGAAGAAAGTTAATTGTTCTTCCGAGAAAATGTTGCTCAGAAAATAAGTATTTTTAACCACAGCTATCCCTGAAAAATCATTTCTTGGTAGCTTTACATCATCATTATAACCCAATGTGCTGGGTCGAAATAACCCAGCATTGGGTTGGTCCCTTTTGGACCCAACGCTGGGCAAGCGATTTCACCCAGCTTGGGTACTTCTAACTCAGCAGTTTTAAAAGTGTACCTTTCAATTAAATTGTCCCTCAATTCCCAGAAATTCCCATGGAAATTTTCCAATCTGGAATATTTTTAACATTCGCCACCTTCCGATAATTTCCTGGAAGATTTTGATTCCTCAAGCAACCGTGTGTGACCTCACCCAGGTGTTCCGGGAAATGTGCAAACTCGGGTAGTCTCCGGATGAGGCGGGACGGCTCCTGGTAGTCGGAGCAAAGGGGGAAGATCCTCTCATAGGTGGAGTTGGAGGTGGAGAGAGAAGAGGAGAGAGAAGAGCGCTGGAAGGAAAAGGCCCGAGTCTGAAGCGCGAGACGGGCTGTGAGTTCCTCATCCAGAATTCGCCGTGATGCCTTTAGCATTAAAACAGGTAATAGTTGCCACTTTTAGCTATTGGCAAATGCATACATGGAAAATGATTGCACTCAAATGACCGTTTTCGCACCTTTTCAAGCATTTTTTGCCACACCTGCCGCCACAAGATGATAACTATGATGGTCAAAAGGATAGCGATAATAGCCACCAAGCAGCCAATCAGGATCCTTGTATTGCTGTCATCCACTTTGTGAGTTGGATCATCCCCTACATCGGATGGGAAATGAGATTTAAATGACTTGAACACAACTCGATTCACGGTTAAGGTTTAATCTGAAAAGCTACCAGCAGGGGGCACTGTCTGCATACACAGAAAACGAGGTAACCCGTTTCAGCTTCTTTATTCAATTAACTGCCCTTGAGGATTGAATCGATCATGGTGGACCAGATCGAGATGTTTTGCACCAATTCTATTGAAGCACTGAACTGTAGAATTTTGTCAACACACGTAATACATCCAGTCAGTAAACATCTATTGTCTGCTGGGCCTTCTTTAGAAGTCAGTGAGCTAACCAAACCTAACCTGGCAGCCCATTTGTTGGGTGTCCATGTTTTCGAGGAGTCAAAGATGTGTTGTACACCGCTGAGCCTGACAGTGGGGAAAAACAAGGGAGAAGATAAAGATAAATATTGGCAAAATCAAATACGAAAGGAAAGAAACACTGAATGCACCTGATTGGAAAGCGACTTCGCTGAACAGCATCCAGAGGTCATTGAAGTGAAAGCGGCATTTGATGGCGATGGCGGTATGGTCCCCGAGGGGCACGGTGACAAAACGGGCACTTTGGCTCACGGAGTCGACAGGTGGCCTGAAGGTCACCGGGTCGGATTCCCAGTTTGAGCCCGACCGGAAATAACAAGTGGCCTGCCTGAACATCCGGACCCCTCGACTGAACATATTGTTACAGTGAACCTGCGGATGACAACTAGGAAATATGAAGCTAAAGCAGTTTTTTTTTGTTTCTTTCAAACTTTAATTTCTACATTTTGTCTTGTTACCTTCACTGAGGTGAAATTTCGGATGTGGTCGAACTCAAAAGTCATTTCCACGTAACCTTTGGGGGAGCTCCGGTTGCTCCATCCCACGTAGTCGTACCCCGGCCACATACCATACATGCGACTATGGAGAAAATCATCCAGACCCCAAGTTCCATCGGTCAGCTGGCCCAGACCCTTCGTCATTCTAGTCAGGAAAAAAATATGTAAACATACATGCAATATCTCACCACAGGAGAGTCAACTCCTCACATTTCTGTAAATATTTTATGATATCATTTCATCAGAATCATTTGCAACAGAAGTGAGTAAGCCCTTGTGTGAAAATGTTCAATTAGTCATTTTCCCTGCCGGGTGTCATGTGACTTGTTAGCTTCAATAATTTATGTGGCCACCATTATTTCCCGGCCTTCACACTCAACTGATTTCTGTTTTTATTTTATTTTAAATGTGAAATGTTGGGCAGGCCCATGAGATAGTGGTTTTCTCCACACTTCATCCGACAAACATGCTTTCTTACTCAATATCCGGCAGGTGTGAACATTAGTGTGATACTTTGTCTTGTGGCTTTTTGGCTCTTACCCATGCTGACCCAAATGGAAATTATCTTGGGCATATATATATATATATATATATATAGTACAGCTCGCATAAGTGTAAATGCATTTGTATACTTGAGTACGTCTACATGTTGACTTTATTCCTTTTCTTTTCAGAGTGAGATATACTCAATGAATGATCATTAAAACTCACAAAGAACAAGGGGTAGGGCTAGATAAGTTTGTTACTTCTTCCTACTTCCTTTGAACATGTAAATTGTGCTGAATGATGACTATTTGTTTTTTTCTTCAGCTTTTAAAAAAAAATACCTCCCTTTACTTCCTGACAAAATGTCTATTATCTGTTTATATGTTCAACAAACAAACAATGATCGCTGTTAAAATCTACACGTGATAACTGTGAAACTGGGTGCTATATCTAGTAGTTCCCAGCACAGCAGATAAAGTTCCCCCGTGTCATGCTACTGAAATTAGCAACTGAATGACATCTTTTTTTTTTTTTTTCTGATCCTCCCTAGGGGCGTGCGG